ACCCTTTTTTTACTACAGATTTCACGGAAATGTCTGTCACTAGGTGGCCTGTTTTATTAGTTTGTTTTAGGGAATATTTTTATTATGTTGGGAGCCAGTTAAATAGGTAAGGGGAATCTAAACAGCTGGTCTATTGGAGCTATACCTTTTATTTCCATCCTTTGATTAGAATAATCTACATATCAAAAGAGGGACTTGGGAAGGAGAGAAGAGACTAGAGGGCTGCCTGACACATTTGCTTTCTTTGTCCTCATTCTGGAGTTTTTGTTTCTGATTCTTTTTCCATTGGTAGAACACACAGTTTCCAATGTTTTTTTCAGATTTCTTTTCTAGAAGCCTTGCATATCTGACCGTGTTAGTGGTTGCTTCCAAACACAGAGGAAAACTTGGCAGGATTTTTCCCTTTTGTCTCTTCTGCTGATCATTTCTTTTTTTTTTTTTTCTTTTGTTTATTTATTTTTGGGTGAACATAAGCAGGGGAGGGGCAGAGAGAGGGGGACAGAGGATTCAAAGCAGGCTCTGCGCTGACAGGCTGACCACAGCAAGCCCAATGTGGGGCTTGAACTCACCAACCTCGAGATTACCACCTGAGCCAAAGTCGTATGCTCACCTGACTGAACCACCCAGGCGCCCCTTCTCCCAATCACTTCGATTGGAATTGGAGCGTGAGTTGATGGAAAGTAGTTTCCAGCTCATTTTTCAAATTAGGAACATGAGACCAACACGTGTGGGTAAATGCTTAACGACTGGATTTCTGGGGGAGTGGGGGTAAAGCCCTGATTTGTGCTGTTTGCTGATTTCTGTGGTGTAAATACTCCCACTATGGCTGATTTCACAATACCAACAAGATGTTCCTGAACACAGAGCTGGAAAGAAATGCACTGTAACCAACCGTTATGTAATCCGTCCACCAAATACAAAAACCATAACCCCGAGTCATGGTAAAATGTAGTCAATAGTTATGCAGTGATGAGTTTTGAGTATTTATTACATCTTTCAATAAAACCTATTTAATGGTAAGTTTTCATAGTTTAATCTTTAACAATGCCTTTGTTGAACAACTAGCTCTCAAAGTTCCTGGAAAGGTAACCATCGGTTTTAACATAGCGACTGGGGCCCAGAGAAGTCACTGTCTTGCCAAATGGTCAGTGAATGAGTTGACAGAAGCTGGATTAGTGTCAGTTTTTCTAAAAGTCAAATTTCTCTAGGAAGATTCACTTATTTATGTTTCTGTTTGTTCGTTTGTTATTTTTTTTTTTACGACTGTTACAGGCTGTGAATTGTCTATTGAGACAAGAACAGAATATCTGAATGTAATTGTAACCAAGTTTGGAAGTGTGGAAAACAGGTTGGATGTAGAGCCACAAATAAATCCTAGCTTTAAGTCTTGGCCCTACTACTCACCAGTGGTGTAATCTTAAGGAGGTCACTTATGTACTTCTCTGGCTCCAGTTTTCTAGTCTCCAAGATGAAAGAATTGGTCCACACGAATATCTAATATCTCACATCTGTCTAAAATACCATGACTCATTATTTAGACACATCACTTCAACAAATATTTGCTGATACCAATCGCATGCACATTTGTTATGGATTCTATCCCGGGGGGCATTAAATACTATATAATAATTGTAATTATTATTATAACAGCCCCTCACATTTATGCAGAGCCTCCTAATTTACCAAAGAGAAAGTTTACTTTGAGTCTTGAGCTTCTGTGGTTCTAGGAGATCAAGACAGACCTCCATAGAATGTTAGAGAAAGAAAAATGCATTCCAGAAGAGCAAACAGAACACTTATTCCTGGGAAACACAAGAGGTCATAACCAGGTAGTACCAAAGAATGAGGAACAAGCATTTTTTTTTTTTTTTGGCCACATCTATCAGCTGTTTCACTTTCTCTTATCAAAAAAGCAAAGCCGAAAACTATTTTTTTCTGATGATAAGATTAATTATTGTAGAAAATTCAGAAGTTTTAAAGAAGTATTAAATAAGGAGAAACTACCCTATATCCAATATAATAGCCTGCTTTTCCTTTTCCCATTCTTGTCATTTTAATTGCTGTGTATAATTCCATCTTTTTGTTGTATAATAACTGACTTATTGTAAATTGTTTATATTGTTGATAGTTTTTATTATTCTAAGGAACACAGTGATAAATATCTGTGTTTATATTTTAAAAATTGTATGCTGAACATATGGCTCCCAGCTGTAATACTTAAGGATTAGTGAGACAATTTTAGCAAATCATATACCTTTGACCTTTAGCTTACTTGATTCTGCCAATATTGCTTTGTATTTACTTAGATTTTATGTTTCTAAACATTAAGAGGAACAGTTTGCCTGAATCCTTCAATATGATATATTTGAACTGGAAATAGCACCAATGTTTTCATATTATTCCAAATAGATATGATAAATTGTATGGTGAATACTCCCTCCCCCCCCCCCCCCCCCCCCCCCCCCCCCCCCCGCCCCCCCCGCCTCGCTCCTTAGGCAATTGCTTCTAGTAGAGGATGTTTTGTTTAGAAAGGACTCAGTAAATGTTCAATACATTAAAAGATTCAGGCTAATTTAGTATAAACAAAAACATTTGAGAAGGATTTCAGAAGAAAACAACACTTCCTTGTTCGTGATAATAGCCTTCATTTTCATTAGGAGACATGACAGCCAAGCAGAGTTCAGGAATTCTGGCAGTTAAATGAGAATTATGCAATGAAGTATGTTGTTGCTTTAATTCACCTCCATGAGAAACCATGACTCTAATAGTTATTTGATTAAATGTTAATGAGATCTACTAAATTGACCGAACTCTTACTTTTATGTATTAGATTTATGTCAATTAAAACAAGACGAGTTTTACCTCTTTCCTTTTTTAACATCTCTGAGTCAACATCTGCTTTCAAGGGAGGTGTTGTAACTACCCTGGTTATTTAAATATTAATGACTTCCATTAAAGGGAGCTGGAAGTTTGCAGCAGGAAGATTGAGAAATTAGATGGTGTGATTAGTTCCTTATTTCTGCCGCCAGGAAAAAAAACCTCTTACTGGAAGAGCTTTTTCCAGTATTTTTTTTAATTCCACAGATCTTCTTTTTTTTTTCCCCCGAACCAGTTGGAGAGTAAGATTGTTGATTTCAAGTATTCCTTGAAAGTAGCTACAGTATTAAAACAAGTTCACATAATTAATTTAGTGCCATAGTGGTCAGTACCTTGGGCTTCTTGGGACTAACTTCAGTTTTTAAATTCATTTTGTTCCTTATGATAGTCCATAATAGGCAAGGTCAGTTTTTAGCTGCATATTGTATTTGGTTGGGCTTGTTTACATGAAGCATGGGGAATTCTATTCAGTTAACCATGAAAGACTTGACAAGAATTATATATTTGATCACATTATGATTATAAATGTTTATCTTATTGGGGAAATGTGTCTGAAAAGCTTCTAAAATTTGCTACAAACAGTATTTTCATTTTATGCTAACTTGGGTTGCGACAAGCCTGTGGTAATAGATTTTTATACATTTCATGTTTTTAAGATGTTTTAATGGCGTGGTATTTTAAGGCACTGAACAGTCCGAAGCAGGCATTATATTTGCATAATTGTATATTTATTTTTACATCCAGAAACCTAAGTGAGTAAAGTATTTATTAGTTTCATGTACTCTATTTAGACTTTAGAGCTAAGAATTCGGATCTTGCTTAAATGGTAGTAGGTGCCGAGTAATGTAACAGCACTGATGGAAGATCCTAATTCTTAGCGTTAAGGATTAAGGTGAAGTAAGTGAGGCACTTGACTAGGGTATAAAATGTAAGAGAGTGCCAAAAAACTCGATAATCATGATAAATAGTATTTTAATGCAACATCTGGGAAAAAATAAAAATTAATGCAAGAAAATCCACGATGAACAAAACATCACAATTTTAGAAAAAGATGAGATCTGACCCTGCATCTGCCCCTGACTCACCTTGTGCCGGGTCTTGGCCTTGACTGGGTTTACCATGTTCTTGGCTGCGGCATTCCTTATCCAAGGAATCAACATTTCCTTGTCTAACATTAGTGCCATTAATCTTTGATTTCCTGGTTGAGTTATTAGGATATTCAAATCAGCTAAAAATACATGGGGAAGCCCATTGAAAATACAAATTACATATTTATTTACAAATTTAGGGAAATCGCCAACTTTAAGTCACTCCTATTATCAGCCGAGGTGACTAGTCTAAGCAAGCATCAGATTTGAAGACCTTTGAAAAACTGTTCACAAAGGTTGAGGCATAGCTCTTAGGTTTATCAGCTAGCAATAAGGGCAGGGATCTGAAGATAGTTGTAGGACCTTTCCTTCTTTCTTTTTTGTTCTTGAATGCAAAGTTTGTGATTTGTAAGAGACAGAAGAGGTAAGCAGAAATCCACTTGGTTTATTTTATTTGTATTTTTTATTTTATTATTATTATTATTTTATATATTATTTTATTATTTATTTTATTTTATATTTTTATTTTATTTTAAATTTCTCTGCCCAAGTGCCCATGGACAGCTGAAGTCTCACTTTTGCTCAAGCTGTCCCCCATAAGTGATGCTTTCTCCGTTTCTCCTGCCCATCTGGGTTCCACCCACCCTTCCTTCACACCTAATCTTGTTAAGGCCTTCCTAGGTTCTCTTGGCCAGAGATATGTTCTCAGTCCTGTGCCTTCCCGTGGTAGGTAAGCATCTCTACCACACATTTGGTGATAAGTTACAGAGTCCTTGTTGTCTTGAAGTTTTATCTGATCCTGCATTGAGTTTACTTTTCAGACCACAGTTTTAGAAATATAAATTGTTTCTCTAGTTAGATTGTGAATCCTTGAATAGCCCCGGGCCTTTACACAGAATATTTATTCATTTATTTTACAATATACATTTTTTTTTTTAATGAAATAAATGAATGTCTTGTATGTAAAAGGGCTGGGTAAATATTTACTCTTTGGATTCATTTGTTTTCATCCTAGGCCTAGAGAGACCGGTTGGTGCCATGTGGAAGACGATTGTTTTGGTGGTCGTGTTCATGTTCAGCCCTGGTGGCGGGATCTTTCACTCCTTATACAAAAATGTTCGGGTTTCCGTACCACGTAAGGGAAACGTAGGAGAGCCATTATTTCTTACTCCCTATATTGAAGCTGGGAAACTTGAAGAAGGTAAGTTTAATAAAATCAGAAAACCACTGGGGTATTTTCAACAGTTTGGGGTTTTGTTTCATTTTGTTTTTTAGCAGTTATTTTACAAGATTCAAAATATATTCTGGTATTTTTTAACCCAGCTGTTTTATTTCAAATATTAACGATTTGATGTCATGTATTATCAGAGTTTTGAGCTAAAATGAGAGTTTGGCAGGGACAGATTATCTGGTGGTCGAGTACCTACATTTCTATTTATAAAACTAGCATAGTGCCTGTCCCCAGCTGGGCAATAATAAATACTAACCTTAGAACTTACTACACATACTGGTTCCAAGGATTCTACGTAAACTCACGTCAGCATCTTAACAACCCAGGCAGGTGTACCCATTTCACATCTAAGAACACTAAAGCAGAACGAGTTACTTGCCAGAGTTGGGGGCACCTGGGTGGCTTCTTCAGTTAAGCATCCGACTCTTAATTGAGGCTCAGGCCATGACCTCACTGTTTGTGAGTTCGAGCCCCACATCAGGCTCTGCACTGACAACACAGAGCCTGCTTGGTATTCTCTCTCTCTGCCTCTGTCTAGCCCTCTCTTGTTTGCTTGCTCTGTCTCTCTCTCTCTGTCTCAAAATAGATAAATAGGGGCGCCTGGGTAACTCAGTCAGTTAGGCGTCTGACTTCAGCTCAGGTCATGATCTCACAGTTCGTGAGTTCGAGCCCTGCGCTGGGCTCTGTGCTGACAGTTCAGAGCCTGGACCCTGCTTTGGCTTCTGTGTCTCCCTCTCTCTCTCCACTCCTCCCCCACTCACTCTGTCTCTCTCTCTCTCTCTCAAAAATAAATAAAAACATTTTAAAAAATTAAAAAATAGATAAATAAACTTAAAAAATTTTTTTTAAAGTTACTTGGAGAGTCACAGCTGGTAGATGCAGGATTCACACCCAGACAGCCTCCCTCCGGAGTCTATGACCACAGGCATACTGTTGGGCCCCTCTGCACAGCAAGTTACTCAAACATTCTAGACCTCGGTGTCCTCATTAACAACATGGAGTCACAACCACTTAAGTCACAGGGATGTTATAAGAATCAGATGAGAAAATGCACATGAAAGCTCTATAACCTGTACGTTGCTCTCTAAATATTAGTGTTTGTAAATCACTTTTTATTTGGAAATTGTGGGGTTTCCAATAATTATTATTAATAGGAAAAAGGTGTTATTGGGCATCATCGGAGACTAGAATTTATGATCTGCCTCTGTTCTTAATGCTTCCTTCTGTTTAGGTAAATCACTGGGTAGATAACACTACTTAATCTTTCTGGACATCAGTGGGTTCCTGAACTATAAAATAGTATATAGGCAGCTGTTTTCAGGTGTTGTTTGTAAAAGGAATCAGAGAAATGGGGTAGTGGCTGGAGGGAGCTGTGGGACCAGGAAGGGTCTTTAAACCATAAGAGACTCTTAAAAACTGAGAATAAACTGGGGGGGTGGGAGGGAGGGGAAAGTGGGTGATGGGCATTGAGGAGGGCACCTATTGGGATGAGCACTGGGTGTTGTATGGAAACCAATTTAACAATAAATTTCATATTTTAAAAGAGAGAGAGAGAGAGAGAGAGAGCAGGAGACCATGTATTTGCTGATAGAAATGATTGGGAAGAGGGGACAGTTGATTGGGATGGGGGACTATTTCAGGAGCGCTCTCTTTAGATGAAAGATGGGGAAGCTGGCCCATAGATGGAGACGTTGGTGTTTGCTTTGGAGGACTGACTGCTCTCGAATCACAGGTGGGACAACCAAGTTCATGGCTGTGAGGCTGCTAGGTTGGTAGACAGCAGGGGGATGTGGAAGTGATGCTGGAAATTTGAGGGAAATAATCATTTTCAAGATCAAAAATAAATCTATGTACTCCACAAAGAAGGTTAAAAATAAAGCAACGCTTCTTCATTCAAAATACTCTCATAGCTAACAGGGTATTATTGTTTTGGGTTTTGTTTGGTTTAAAACCAAAACGTTCTTGTATCTTGGGGGTGCACTGGAGTCCTGGTCATGTGTCTTTTTTCTGACGTACACGTCGACTCCATGTTTTACCATCTCTTAACTGAGAAGAGGTGGAAAACTTGGATAATGTCGTCAGTGTATATTGGTGTACATTTTCTTAGAATTTATTAATTTATTTTGAGAGAGAGAGAGAGAGAGAGAGAGAGCCAGGAAGGGACAGAGAAAGAGAGGGAGAGAGAGAATCCCGAGCAGGCTACGCATCATCAGTGCAGAGCCTGATGTGGGGCTCGAGGTCACGAATCGTGAGATCGTGACCTGAACCGAAACCAAGAGTCAGATGCTTAGCTGACCGAGCCACCCAGGTGCCCCTGTGTACATCTGATGATGTAGCCAGCGACAATGTAGTCAGAGAATGCAGTCATTCCTTTTTTAAAAAAGACTCGTTTTGTTCTTGATGTAGAAAAGTCATGAGAAGATGGTATTCCGATGGTACAGGCTCATATCACTAGACATATACGAAGAGGCAAAATATCATCCAACTCTACAAAAACGGATCGCATGCATTCATTTGGGCTTCTTTAGTAAGTGGGTACTGATGGCTTAGATTATGTTCATTAACAACAAATCAAACCAAATCACTTAGTTAGAGCTGAAATGGCATTGAATACTCATAACCAACCCTACCAATCCACACAGAAGGAATTTGAGACTCCCAAAACGTTACATGACTTGCCCAAGGATATGCAGGTAATAGGACCAGAGATGTATTTAAGACCCAGATTTTCTGACTTCTGCTCTGGGATCTGCCTGCTCTAATTTGTTTCCCTTTGTTTTAGAACCTGGTGCTCTTCCGGAGTGACCAGATGCACACACATGAAACCAATTAAGGAATAAGGCAGTGAATACTAAAATACTAAAGTGTCACATTTGAGGTAGGCATGTTGGAAATTTTGAGAAGGAAGCTATCCTATCGGTTGGTAGAGTCCAGAAAATAGCAATAGTGTAGTAAGAAAAATAACAAATCCTAATATTTAATAACTATATTCCCAACACATAGCACAGTTTCTATGTGTAATAGGCATATATAATAAATACTTGCAGAATTTAAATTTTAAGCCTGAATGTATGCCAGACATGGGTTTTACACACACATTAGCTTATTTAACTCTCAGAGCAATGGTAATGAAGAATGCATAATTATTGTTCCCATTTTATAGATCAGGAAACTGAGGCCCAGAGGAATTAAGTATCTTGCTCAGAGCCATTTAATGATAGTAAGTGGCAGAGGTGGCATTAAAACCTCTTTGCTGGCTCCAGAACCCAAGGTGTGAACCGCTGTGCTATGTGACTAGATCCAAACTAGGAAAGGACCTGTGTATACTGAGTGAGGAAAACAGTTTCAACAAAGGCATTTAGTGCAAGCGACGCGTGGTGGTGTGTCTGTTTCATACATCTTGGAGGAACCAAGTGAAAACACAGAGAAATCCATCTGAGAGACTGTCCACATCCCTACCACTCCTGTATTCCTTGTTTACAAACATTTCACTGTTGCGGTCATCAGCAGTAGCAAGGAAGGTTTCTGAGGGAGGTAGTTTTCATCTTCTGCCCTTCTGTGCCAAGTCTGATAGATCACCATCTGATGGATGACAACTTCTAAAATAGTAAAACTGATGTAATGTCACTTTCTAAAGTTCTGTTACGCAGTCAAAATCTTTGAATGGAATTTTGAGTGGCTGATCCAAATTCTGGTACATCTGGGTATTCACATACAGCCCTGATAACATAATTAAGGATAATTTTATTCATCCGCTTTACTGAAAGTTCAGGAAGCTCTGGACAGATGGTCAGCTCATTCCCCTAAATCCCTTTTGTTTATTGAGTCTGTCAAAACCTTAGGCGCATGAGTCTTAGTATCGCAATGGAACGTTCTTGAGATAAACAGTAATTCACAAAAAGACAAGGGCGTTTTTATTTTTTAATCTCCCAATTAGCTGGCTTAGTTTTGTGTAATTGTAATTGCACGTTTACTTTCTCTGCAGCTAGAATAAACCCTTGAAACAAAATGAATAAAGGAGGCAAATTTTTAAATATTTACAAACACTGCCTTTTCACGAACTTTAAAGACTATTTTGTTATTAGGTGTCACTTTATTATCACTTACGGTCTGGCCGTGTCTTGTGCAGTACTGTTGATGACTGAAGACTTTGTAAATGTGAAGTGCACCCTGATTAGCTGCTTCAAGTCCTTCTTTGGTCACAATCCAATCTTTTTCAAAGTGTTAACATCATAAACATTGGTAACTGCAGTGAATAATAAGGAGGAAGTGAAATCACTTCAAAGAAAACCTTTTCCTTTTTTTAAAAACTGTTTTGAACATTTGAATTGTGAGTCATGGTTCCAGGAAGTAAGAAACCCCTACATCTTGGGAGTTTATTTTCCACATTCCATTGGTGGACTCTGGAAGGATGAACCGAACATTTGAAAATACAAAATATCATTTTAGTTGAAAGAGCTTTTAATTATTTTACCGTGACTTCGTTAAAGGAAATTTAAGAATTGAAATAGGGTGAAACACTTTTTAGTGAGCCAGAAAAAGTCCTTCTAAATTCTTAAGACCTTAGTAAGGCCTGCCTTCTTTAGGAGGATTTTGTAGAAATATGCTAATCCTAGTGCATTGCCAGTGCGTAAATCAGCTGTACCTGTGGGTACGAAGACAAGACAATTTCCCTGCTTTCCAGTAGCCCCTGATCTTCAAGGCAAGGCAGGAAATGTACCTGGGGAGGTAGAAGGTAGCAGAGAAACAACTTTGGAACTTCAGAAAAGGAGGGCTGGGGGAACATTGGAGTCATTGTCAGAGCAGGCCAGCAGACCTTGTGCTGTGCTGGCCTCAGAGAGATAGATTGATTCAATCATCTCTCTCCCATATTCCATTCCCTCCAGCTCCTTTCTATTACATATTTTCTTTTCTCATTCTTCTTCGACCTTTCTCATTTTTCTCTGTCTTCTTTCTCGAATCCCTGCTGCTCACATACCTCGCTGTGAGTCACATCTCATTTATTCCTAACCCTTCTACCTTCAGGTCTCTATCCACCTTTTTGGGGGTTCTCTGATTCTGAGAAGATTGATAGTTTGGGGGAAAATATGTCAGAAGTGTTTTCGGTACCACATTCCAGTTACAAAAGAAGTCTGGGGATATGATATATAGCAGAGTGACTACAGTTAGTAATATCATATTGCATATTTGAAAGTTGCTAAGAGAATCGATCTTGAAAGTTCTCATCACCAGAAGAAAAAATTGTTAACTACGTACGGTGATGGGTGTTTCCTAGATGTTGTGGTGACCATTTTGCAGTATATGCAAACATCGAATTGTTAGGTTGTACATCTGAAACTCATATAATGTTCCTTGTCCAATATATCTCAATTTTTTAAACAGAAAAAAAAAAAGTTTTGAAAGGCTGCCCAGCCCTGGAGGGTCAGCCTTCTTTGGGCTAATTGAGAGCGGAAGCAAAGTGGGGTGGGGTGGAGGCAAGGCTGCTGGAGGGAAGGGTGTAGGCTGGCAATCACCACTTTCCCTAAACATCCCCCTTTTCCTTTGCTTGAGATGCTCCTCT